ACCAGCAAGGTTAACATAAAGAATTCGTGTTTTCAACTTCTCACCTTGCCTGAGGCACAGCAGACCTCAGGTTAAGCCATCACAATTATCTCTCTCTAATGACAGAGTAGCGCCACAGTCTGATAAGACAATGGAGACTTTACATTTTACATCTAGGCCTTATTTTATGTTACTCCAATTAACATTTAATTAACAAACTAATTATTTCATTTTAATATTGGTTAATCTTTATGACCTGCTTCCTTGAAACACATTTTTATTTTTACATTAATGTCATATCATGCAGCATCACATCATCAAATCACTTGTTGTCACATTAGGACCTGATTTGCAGACAGAGTGGCAGAGACAAGAAGCATAAGACAGACAGGCAGAGAGATAAGAGTGGAAATGGTAGGCAACAGCAAGAGTCAGAGAGTGGAAAGGCAGAGTAACAGAGACAGAGAAAGACAGAAGCCATTACACTCTATGCTTTAGAGACAATGGTGAGTGCAATATAATTTGAACTTATACTGTACAACAGAATTACTGTATGAGTTATTTTGTTTTGCAATCTAAGCAAGAAATGTACAGTGCTGCACACATACAGTATTGGTTTTCCCAGGCAAGAAATGTCTGAATGCACTTAATTCTAGATTTAACAATGATTCCTATGGGAAACCATCATTCGCTTAAAGTTGTTTCACTTAAAATAGTACGTTCCAGGTGCACAACCTCAACTTTAAGTTAACACTGTAATGCAAATTGTTTTAATACATCATATGTTTGAGAGATTGTGGAGGCTATGACTATATTCTCCAGAGTTCAGAAGAATGAGAGATGACAAGGAAGGATAGACGCGGAAGGTTTCCCTGGTCACAGATGTGGTGTAGTGGGGGTGGTGGTTTTGGACTGTTTAGAAATAGAGGACACAGTCTCATTTAGAACTCAAATGAGATGAGAACAAATTTCTTCACTCAGAGGGTGGTGAATCTTTGGAATTCTCCAACACAGAAGGCTATGGTGGCTTATTCGTTGAGTATATTCAAAGCAGAGATTGATAAATTTGTAGAAATTAAAGGTATAAAGGGATATGGGAATAGAATAATAAAATGGCATTGAGCTGGAAGGCCAGCCATGATCATTATGAACGATGATACAAGCTGATGGGTGAATAACCTACTGCAACCACTACTTCCCATATTCATAACTAACAAGCCCAGCTTTAAGAAATTTGCAGCAGTTTGTCCTTTGATGGTTCTGAACTAGATCATAAACTTTGTGCATGTAACACTAAAACAAGATGGTTTTCAGATAAACCTTCTAAAATATTTCGCAGTCATACAGCAGAGCTAAGTTAGTTCTTATATGTCCTTAGGCTATTTTATCCAGGAAGGGAAATAAACACACATGCTCAGTTGTTGCAAAAGGGGTGGCTCTATCTTTTTTTAGTTTTGTAGTAGTTACATTGTATGTTATTGCATGTCTAGAACATACATGAGGTGGTCTTTGCTGAAATACAAGATATTCCAAAGAAGTCACTAGGCACTTTTATACTAATGGTCAATTTTTAAAACGTATTCTGGAAAACAGATCATTGAACATAGTTGACTGTGAAGTGGATACTTCAAGTAATCAATTATTTTTTATCCAAACTGCTTTGCAAAGTCAAGTCCTTAACAAAGTAGTATGATACTTTTTCATGCAGTATCAAAGGGTCCAGATTCGTGCAAGTGATTAGAGTAAAAGGCAAATACTGTTGAAGGTGAGGCATTCTGTTAAATTCAGCTGGCCAGTTCCAGTGCCCCTTTTTTTGCGAATCACTGACAATGTTCCACATTGAATCACTTCTACAAGTCTTTTTCCATGAAGGACAGATAACATAACATCCTCAAAACAGTGCTCATTGTTCTTAGGGAGGAAAATTTACACAAAAATTTACCCAGCAATACTGCACAAATCACAAGATATCTAGCATACATATCTAACCACCACTTCTTCTGTGATGCTTGGCATACATTTCCACACAGCAGCTGAGACCATGGAACTATCATTGATTGTAACATAAACACCTGCTTCTCTAATGTCCTTCAGGGAAGAAAATCTATCTTTGTTACCTAATCTAGCCTAAACATGACTGCAAAGCAATAGCATTGCAACTGCCTCTCTTTTTATTATTAACCTATTCTTCTAATCAGCCTATACTTGGACAGTCAAAGGACCTGTTTCTGCGCTATATTGTTCTTTGTTCTATTCAGAGATGTTATTACACAGCTCTAAGCAGGTGGGACTTGAACCTAGGCCTCTCTGATCTGGGGGCAGGGACACTACCACTGTGCCTCGAGAGATCCCCCACAATTGCTTCTTAAGTGCTCCCTGAAATTGTCTAGCAAGCCACCCAGTTAATGGGCAATTAGTGATCAACAACAAATGCTGACTTTGCCAGTGATGCTTAAATCTTATTAAAGAAGAAACAAATTCCCAGATATTTTGCAGCTTCCATTCAACAACACAGCTCCCCATGATACCCTTGTCGACACATTCACTCATACAGCATAATTGACTTGATATCTTCTGCATCATCACCAGCAACACTTCTCAATGGATATTTTGCACACGTCATATTGGGTGCCCACTGCGCAATAAGGACAGAGAGTTATACTGCCAGAGACACCTTTGTTCCAATGAGATATCACACTAAAGCCTCATGTACTTGTTGAGGTGCACGTGAAGGATTCTACAGCAGTAATTTACAAATTGAGCATTACTTCCTTGCTTATTTTTCATAATTTCTATTTCTTTTTTCTTTCCTCATGGGACTTGGGCTTCGCTGGCCGGCCAGCATTTACTGCCCATACCTAGCTGCCCTTGAGAGGTGGTAGTAAGCTGCCTTCTTGAACCACTGCAGTCCACGTGCTGTAGGTTAATTCACAATGCCCTTAGGGAGAGAATTCCAGGATTTTAATCCAGCCACAGTGGAACAGTGATATTCTTCCAATTCAGGATGGTGAGTGGTTTAGAGGGGAACTTGTAGCCGATGTTGCCATGTACCTGCTGCCTTACTCCTCCTTGATGAAAATGATCATGAATTTGGAAGGTGCCGTCTAAGCCAGGTATAAGGCCAAAAGTTCAACAACAATAAAGTGGCTGAGGAAGAAGGGAAAAATCTTGTTTCTAAGAAACAGAGTTTGTAACTTCACCTACCATGTTAGTAAGCAGTTAACCATATTTAATGGATAGAATATTTGGTCTTCCAAAACTGTCAAATTTCAAAATTAGGACAAAGGTGAAGTTTAGCTTGGTGGGAAAGGCAGACGGATGGAAGTGGCAGAAGCAGTTGAATGTTGGTCTCAATTTTAGTGATCTTGTAGTTAAGATGGGTGGCAAATTTCTAGAACTCTGGTCAATTTCCATTCCTGTGCAAACTCTGCTTTGCAAGGATGATATCTCAGACTGCCTTGTTATTTTTAAGAACTGTTCTGGATTTTTACATAATTTGCTCATTAAACTAGCTACAGAAAGTTAGAGCTGGTAATTGACGGTGGAGATACCATTCTTAACTGTTTCAATCAACATCTGGGCAGAAGGAGAACAATTTATACGGTACTATCACTTCTTGCGGGCTGCAAATTATTGCGATTTCTAAAATTTCAATTTTTAAAAATGTTTCTGTTACTTTTCCTTTCTCTTTAAGCAGGTGTTGTTTCACTCTCTTTTTTCTGTACCTGATTTAACTTTATTCCAGCCATTTTAGTCACACTTCTTCCCCTTCCATGCTCTTTCTTTCTGAATTCTTAAATCATTTTGGACTCTTGCCACAAACTCAGCGTGCCAGTCAATGACTTCATCCCTCTCTGGATATTATTTGAGTCAAACATGCCTAACTTTGACTTCCTACTTGACCGAAATGAATTTCCAATCTCATATATATTCCATCACCAAAATCAGCTACTTTTACCTCCAATAACATAATTTGTCTCCACCCTTGTATCAGGTCATCTGCTGCTGAGATATTCATCTGGTACCTCTAGACTTGATTGTGTCAATGATTTGCTGGCTGGCTTTCCATTTTGCACTCTTTGTAAACCAGTTCTCACAAATCAGCATTGACTGCAAGTCTGGCAATTCATCAATATTAAGATGCTTATACTTGCTTGCAAATCTTTCCATGGCCTTGTCCAGACCTGTAACCTCCTCTAGCCCTACAACCCTTCAAGATCTCTGTACTCTAGCTAATCGTCCAAATATGGCTCTCTTGCACAGTTCTGATTATGTATACGTAAGCTTTATTGTGAAATCTCTCACTAAATCTCTCTTCTCTACATTCCTAAACTTATTAAAACCCACCACTTTGTCTAAATTTTCAGTCACTTGATTAAAATCTCATTGTGCAGCTTGGAAGTCAAATTTTGCTTGGAAATGCTCCCAGCAAACATCTCGAGATAGCCCAATGTAGGTGCTAAATACAAATGCAATCTGGTATTTCTGTTAAGCAGGCAGACCAAGTCCAATATTCCGTGTTGCCCTCATTGCACTGTTATTAGTGCACACCTCCAGCAAGTTACTGCATTCGTATTTTTCAACCTAGCTGAAAAAGTAAAATGCTGTACACCATGTGTCACCTGGCTACAACAAGGTATGAACCCTTTTCAACCCTTCTATTCTGGCCACAGATGCTGAACGGGTGTGCTGGATACATTTTGTTTTCAAGCAATTTTTTGTTTTCTGTTTAAGATTTACAATTTCTAGCTCTTTATTCATATGAGCCAAAATGAATTGCTTCATTAAGCTACCCTGGAAGTATCCTAGGAGAGGGGGATTGATGGCAAAAGTGTTGAACTAAATAGGTTGGGACAAGGAGGAGCTAATGTAGATATTAATACACCGGTATGCATTATGCGATGTTATGCTCTCATCATTGATACCTCATACACACCTCCACCCTGTTTCACACATCATCACTCAACACTTTGCAGAGGCCACTTTACCCAAAAGCCTCTTGTAAACGCAACGTCGTCAAAGATGGCGGCTGCCTGCTCCTGAGGTGGTTGGTGTCGAACTGACTAGCGGGTTTCACTCGCGGTTCTTTTTCGTTCTGAGGCTGGACGCGTCTTTCTTTTGAAGGGGACCTAGTATCAACCGAAGCGGCGACCTTAGAGAGGTGAGTAGACGGCTGCGAGCCTTTCCGTCCGTCGGCGGGATGAAAAAGCCGGTAAGCGAGTCACTCAACCTAACGTGATGGCGGCCGTGTCCCGCCCTCCTCCCCGGCAGCTGATTGGCCAAAGGGAGGTTAGCGGCCTCTGGGATTGGTCCAGGCCTCTTGTCAGTCAGTCAGTCAGTCGTGATGAGTAAGTTAAGGTGTGTGTTTGCCGGCTGAGGCCTCGTCATTGTTCCCGTCCCCTTGTCTGCAAATCATGGTGAAGAGGAGCTAGTGGCTGGACAGCTGCAGCGGTGTTCAGCTATGTCGGCTGTTCAGTCATTTTTTTTTATTATAAACAGTGGACTCCAGTGGTTTGGTTTTTGCGTAACCAAACCTTCACCTCGTAGAGACTATTCCTTCCTCTCTCTTCCATGCATTCATTTCCATAAACCCAACGATCATATTGTTCTGCCACGTTAGCACCAGAGCACAGACTATTTGAAAAAAGAGTAACGTTAATTGAATGCTGAAGAATGCATTGCAGCTTCATGGACATTTATACATCTGTCTAGCATAGTCTTGATTTCGACACTTGTCAGCCGGATCTTCAGATTACGATGATGAAGGAGACCAGTTTTGATGAAATGTCGATCCGTCATTTGTTTCTTTACAGACTGTGAATGGACAATGTATTTCCCCCGTTTCCTGTTTTAAAATTTAGAAGTGATTCCCAGAGTGAATCCCTTACAATGAAACAGAAACTTGTGATTTGCTACCTACTATTAACATACCAGTAGTGGCACTAGTTCTTCAACTTGTGGTGTAATATAGGTTCATTTTAGTATTCGTACTTTCTAGGTATATGTCTAATTCAGTTTTCACTGGTATAGCTGTCTTGGTGTTCCTCGCTCTGTCCAAGTTTTAATTCTTTGTCCAGTCTTCTTTGATACTCAAACTTTTTCTTTTCCTAAAAACCAAAAGAACTGTGGATGCTGTAAATCAGGAACAAAAACAAAGTTGCTGGAAAAAGCTCAGCAGGTCTGGCAGCATCTGTGGAGGAGAAAACAGAGTTAACGTTTCGGGTCCGGTGACCCTTCCTGAGAACTGATGGTGGCTGGGAAAACGTCAGTTTATATGCAGAAAATAGGGAGGTGGGTGGGCTAGGGAATAAACGATAAGATAGAGCCCAAAGAGAGAGAGACAGTTGGACAGACAAAGGAATCGCTAACGATCAGGCTGGGAGGGTGAATAAATGTTAATGGGGACTGTTAGTGCCTAAGACATAGTCAATAACAGTCCCCAT